TCGTTTACTATTGTGGGACCCAAGCAGGTCGCCCCTGCGGGGGAGAGGGGTGGGGGGGGTGGATGGTGACCGGGCACTCAGGTGATGTTTTGGGTGAACTCCCTCCCATGGGCCCTGCTGGGAAACAGACTGGGCTGCTTGAAATCTCTGGAACAGCCTCCCTCTGGAGGCCCCCACCCTGATGACGTTATGGACGTCCTTGAAAACTGGCTCTTCCCTCAGTCTTGCCTGGGGGGTGGGAAGTCGGGTAGCTATGGAGCCCTGGCAGTTGTTTTTTGCTGTCAGTTTGGTTTCTGTTCTCAATGTCTATGAGCTGTTCCTAATTTTTATTCTTCTTGCTTGTAAAGTGTAAGCCACCCAGAGCCATTTGCAGTCAGGCAGCCTCTAAACAAACAAACAAACATTAGTGAAAAAGGGCCTATTTAGACCACTGATTTACTACTGCAAGCTGTTTAAGTGACACCTACTTAAATCCCTAATCGGTTCCCCTTTGGCACTTCAGATATTTCCTTAGCAACTATGCAAGGGTGGAGTCTTGAACACTTCAGTTCCCATCTGGGTTTAGCCATATGTCAAAACTCACTTATCAGTGAGTAGGTATGAGGTGTTGAAAGAACAATAAATCCTTGTGGATTGAACCACCCGTCGCCCTTGGTGCATCCTCAGGTCCACGCTTCAGTGGGCTGGAGAAGCCAGAAAGCCCAGCTCTTTCAGTTCAGGCACCTCAAGCTGAGCTCTCTGCCGTAGCCCACCATCTGTAGAACACCTGTGGGCTTGGGGAGGTGGGAGCTATGGAGGGAGAGCTTGGGTCTTTCTGCTGCTGGGCTGGGAAGTGGCAGACACAGAGAGAGGGCCTGTGTGGGGAAGGCCAGACTCTTCTGTTCCCACACCAGAATGGCCCTTGAGGAGAAGGCCCAGGACCTGAGGGGGCCTGCCCGGCACCAGCCTGAAGTGGCTACTAGGTGCTGGGCTAGACCCATTCCCTACGGGTCATCTGACTTTGCCTCCAGTCTACTGGATAACCAAGGATAACCAATTGTGTCTGGTGTTAGATGCTATTGGCTTAAAGGGAAAACACCTCTTTTGTGTGACTTAAGGCTGCCTCTATTATGGATGAGGTATTCGATGAAGGCAGTCATGAGGACATGGCAGAGCATGTTTGTCTCCAGCTTAGATTTATGTGGGGAAAAGCAAGTTCCTAATTGTTAAAGAATGCATCCTAACTGATTGCAATCACCCAAAAGCCCATGTACCCTCTAGGAAGATGGACTTGCTTCGAAAGAAGAAGACCGTGCTTCCTGTTTTGCCTCTGCTCCTTCTCATGCGTTGTGCAATTGTTCCCTCCCATAAAGCAAATGGTAGAGGAGCTCCCACACAGGGCCCTGGGAAAATTGGTACTTTGCTTTTCCTTGGGCCTTTTTTCATTTGTACCTGGTTGTGGCATGAACATGCCCAGGAAACCTCTTTTTTCTGCAAAGGACTCAGAACACTGCCTTCATCTTGTCCCCAGCCCATGCCAGAGGCAGTCGTCCTTGGCTGTTCCAGTCTTAAGCAGGAATGAGCTACAGCACTTTTGATGTAGGTGCAACCTGAGTGCTTTGCAAAGTGCCTGATCGGTGTTAAAGATGGCTGGCCCCTAGGCAGCCCAGCACCTCCTAGGCACTCGAGGCAGGAGCAAGCACGCCCGTCTCTGGCTCCTCAGCACTTTTTTCCCAGGGATCTCTGCCGGCTTTGGGTAGAGAGAGCCTGGTTCTTTTGCACCAGCTTCTTTCCCTGAACCCATCTGGTCCCCTCTAGAAATATCCATAGTCCAGAGCCTGGATTGTCTCAGACAGCAGCTGACCGATACAGGTGGTTGTGTGGGGAAGCAGGAGAGAGCCAGCTCAACCCTCTCTGCCCCGGTCAACTGTTGTTCATTTGCTTCTGAACACGGGTTTAGGGCACTTCAGGAATGGTGCTAAATCCATGTCCGGGTTTGGCTCAAGGTTTTTGCATATGTGTGTTTAAAGGGAGCCTGACAATATTTTGGATGTGGGTTTAACTCTATTCCAGGGGAGAAACTCCTTTTGAGCACACCTGTGCTTAATCTAAGCCTCACTACCTACTTCCAATTTAACAACTGTTAAATGTGATCCAACAGATCACAAGAATGCCCATGAATTGCCTGTCTCAGGTTGCACAGCAGAAGCAGTCATGCACCGCCTGGGAAAGATTGTCCTTCCCCAAAAAACTCAAAATACGGCTACATTAACAACAGAAAGCCAGTCTGATGTAGTGGTGAAGGCATCAGGCTACAAACTGTGAGACCATGAATTCTAATCCTGCTGTAGACACGAAGCCAGCTGGGTGACCCTGGGCCAGCCCCTCTCTCTCAGCCCTGGGAAGCAGGCAAGGGCAAACCACTTCTGAAAATCTGCCAAGAAATCTGCAAGGACTTGTCCAGGCAGTCGCCAGGAGTCAACACTGACGCAAAGGCACGCATGCACGTACACAAAGAAGTTAACACATTTCTAATCCTAAAAGAAAATCAAATTGAAAACACTCAACGCCCAGGGATTAAGTTCTCATAGAGATTGAGAAAGAAAACATCCCATTTTTCAGTGTCCTCAGCACCACACAGAATGATGGCATACCACAAATTCAGCTTTATAGGAAACTGACACACACCAATCAAACGTTAAAAATCTGCGGCCACCACCCTCGGCCCACAGAATGAGCCGCATAAGAGCCCGCATCCACGGGCTCCGGACACCCCGCAGCTCAGCACCACTCCGAAGGGCAGAATTTAACCACCTCCAGAATAGACCCAAGAACCACTATCCCCCCAATTTCATAAAAAATGCACAAAACAAAGAACAGAGAGAATGACTATACCACTAATGCTGCCGTGCATAAAAAGTGCATCAGAACAGACTGGTGGGCCCCACCCAATGGGGATCAAAGTGGCCCAGAAAACCCCTGCAAATTCTGTGCAGAGCCACAGACTGCAGCGCCCCCCCCCCCGAGCCAATATCATGTGCAAAGTTTACTGCCTGGGACGAACAGGACAGCAGCTACAACAAGAATTAAGGGACACAAAACTGCAATAAGGAACCAAGACTACAGTATAAATATTTAACAGCCACCCAGATGGTTCAAACCAATCACCTTCGACTGCCAGAGGATTCCTAGAAGCCTGGTGTTCAGATTAACAGAGCCACTGAGGGGTACCATCTACTACCGGCCGGGCACCTGATCTAAAACACCAGCCACAAACAGGCGAAGGAGGATCATTCAAGAGGGAGGCGGCGCTTCCATCCTCAAGACCAGCCGCTTTGATTTTCAGTCATGACTGCTTTGCTAGCTGACAAATTCTGCGAGAAAAATTCTGGAGATCTCTCTGGTTGGGAAAGGCTGCATTATATGATCTGAAACTTAGTTATTCTTCAAATTTTATACTTCTATTTTTTTGATATTCACTAATTCAATATGTATTTGGATAATGTCTGCATAAAAAAAGATACATTCATGAGAAATTCAGGGAAAATTGGTTGTCAAAATTCTGCGCATCGAGCAAGGTTTCAAACAAAAATGTGTATGTTTGGGGAAATATGAAAATAGAGACAAAGATTTAAAAAAAAGACCTCAAATAAAATAAACTGTATGTCAGATTCACAAAAACGAGACACTGAGCCAGTCTAGTTCCTACCTTTTTTCTCCAGCAAGAAGATTTCTGTGGGTTGAGATGCACCTCTAGAGTTGTAGGCTGTGAGATAAATCCTCTGGGTTCCCGGTGGCACCGAGAACGTGCACTGCCTCTCCGTGGTGTTGCAGAGAGAGAGGGGGCTCTCTCCATTGTGCTGACGGGTGCCCAGCGCTGCCCAGTATCCCAGGATTCTGCCATTGGCCTCGTCTGGCCTCATCGGCTGTAGAACAAGATAAGGGCGGTTGGCTGGCTGGCTGGTTGGTTGGGTAGAAATGAAACGTATCTGCAGCTCGTCCAGTCTGCATTCATCCAGCACGCTTGACCAGATTAGCAAAAGAGCTAGGGTTTGTATTTGAACTAACATTAGTTTTAACTGCAGCCAGTTCTTTTGTGGCTCAGCATGTTTTGAGAGTCCAGCACATTTGGGCTACTTGGTATGAACCAAGACTGGAAATGGGCTAGTGCAGTGATAAGGCTGCACGGCTCTCTCCCCGTCCTTTGGGTCACCTGGTGACGAGGCTGAGCACTCCTCGTCGTGCGTCTCCTCACAAGGGCAGCTCTGCAACGCGCCTGCTCTGGTGTTCTGCCAGGGGAGGCCCCGACTTACCTTCCACAGCAACCGCACTTCAGTCCCCTTCCCTGACTCTTGCAGTTTCCACCAGGCATCCAGTTTTCCTGAAGGCGCTGAGGGGAAAAAGAGGCTTCAGGACCGTCGGCACTTTGTGTCTGGCCCTGTTCCTTTAAAGCAAGCGAGCTCCGCAGTCCAGAAAAGTGAAGACAGCTCAGCTTCCACTGACTTCAGATCCATGCAGAGATTGTGGCGGGGCAACAGTTCAGAAGCTGTTTGCCATTGCTTCCTCCTGGAACTTTTTGCTAGCTTCCCAACTTATTTTGCCACACTGGGGCTTCCCAATTACTTCATGTCACGTCCTGCTCTGCTTTTCAAGATCAGCTAAAGCTGGCCGGGAGCTCCATAAGCTTCTATTCAGAAGCTCCTCCCACCCCCAGTCCCTCCCTATACATTTGATCGTAAGCAAACTTTATGATATAATCCTACACTGGAGCATTGTTTTCTATTTCACTGAAACGATGCACTCTGCACGTGGCCAGAGGAAGTTGTTCCCCAACCCCTACAGGCCAAATCCTGACATGAGAATCTGCCTTGGAGGCTGAACTGTCCTGATGCCCTGGTTATCCTGGCGACTTCAGAGGCTGGGCTATCTGTGGGGGCCACAGGACTCTGCCATTTCCCACCTTTCTCGTGTGTGGTGAAGAGCTTGGCTGGGCTCCAGTCGCTCCAGCTGCTGCAGTTGCTCCAGCTGCTGAGAGGGAGGATCCTGCAGCGCATCTGGAAGTGGTAGCGGCTGCCAAAGAGGAAGCCGCATTGCTGGATCTGCCGGTGGCGGGTGGTGATATTGTGGACCTGGGACAGAAGGGAGAGTTGGAGAAGCAGCCCACGGAAAGGCCCCTCCCCTTGCCCCCCTGCCCACCGGGCACTCGAGCGTTACGGGAAGAGGCCAGAAATGCTTTGACTGAAAAGGCTCTTTGGGCCTCAGCACAGCATGGCTGTCCTGGGAGACAGAAAAGGACAGTGCCAAGGTGGTGCGGAGGGCTGCCGGCAAAGAGCTTGGAGTGCGAAGAAGGGCGTTGGGGGCAAGGCCAGAAGCGACAGCCGTGCCAAGGGGGCCTTGACTGCGCACCCGGAGGGGTCCTGTCGGCAAAGCTGTTCTGTCGCCAGGGCAAGGGGGTACTCACGAGGCTCCACTCCGGGCTGCCTTCCACCTGGTAGCGCAGGTCACACACCTGACCCATGTGGTCGCTGCCCTTTGCTGCTACCCATGCCACCAACACACAGTCGGTCTCCTTGGGCACGGACCGGATGTCCTGGATGGCCGGGGGCTCCAGCAAGGCTGGAATGAACAACGTGGGGTGGGGAGAGCCTTGTACTTGTGCATATTGAGAGTGCTTTAATGCTAACCTCCAAACATATTCCAAGGGCAGTGAGTAAGAAGAGGAAAGCACCGCCCAAGATATCGAATTAAAAGGCAGCATACATTAAACAGCAACGGGAAACAGCCTTTTGAGAGGGAGGGGCTTCTCCCAAGTGCTGAGAAAGTTGGCACCTCATTCCTGGCAGGCATCGGCACCAATGACACCACAGGGGTGTCCATCAGTTGGGCCAAAGGTGAGGTCTTGGCTCTGTAGGGTGATCTGGAACAGATTTTCTCCCCACCTTCACCCCTGGAGAGCACAGGTGGGTCAAAACGTGTCCTGCTCCTGAACTCTTGGCTTTAATGGAGTTCTACCCTTTAAAGGATGAAGAGAGGACAACCCAAAAAAGGTGCGTGCCAGTCAGAAAGGTATCATTGTCATTGGCTATTTATATCAGATGCCATGGGAGAGAGGAAAGGGGACCATCCAGAGGTTGCCTGGCAATCAGTCCGCCTCCTTTCTCCCCAGAGGTGCGTTTTTTGATTGAGGGGGGATCAGGTCCCTCTCCCTGGGCAGTGGGCAGTCCTCTTGTGCTGAGTGGCTTGAAAGGAGCTCCCTTCCTCCCAGAGGGTGCAGGGAAGAAGCGGGTACTCCGGGAGGGACTGAAGCCCTTCATTTGCCTTCCAGGCAAGCAACCCTCCTTCTCACATTTGCCTCTGAATGAACATGCTGTATTTCTACTCCCCCTGCTCTGGATTCACAGACACCTCTGAATTCAGCCCCATTGGCAAGAAAAGGGGGCAGGCAGACCTGCCCTGCTGACGGCACGCACCTAAATTCATGGGGTCTGCACACAAGGGGTCAGAGGTCACCGTGCCCAGGGCGTTTTCCACAGACACCCAGAAAAGCATTTCTTGATGCAGCGGGAGGTCCGAGCGCTGGATAGTGCAGGAGGGCTGGCCGGGTTCGGGAACGCAGTCTGGGATGGAGGCCAGGGGCTTACACTCCTTCGAGCTCCTGAAAGACCAAGAAGAGCGTATCGGCGGAGGCTCGAGAGGTGCTGTGCCCACACCGAGGGCAAGGCCCTGTCGAAGGGAAAGCGCCACCCCTTGCAGACTCCTATTTCGAGGAACTAAATTAAGCCACAGATTCTCAGCTCTGATTTTTTACAAGTCAAAGGTCAGAAAGCATTCCTGGGAATGGAGAGAAACAGACGGCCCCCTCCTCCCCCTTTGGCCCTAGCCTGACCGCCAGCCCTCCCGTCCTGTCCTTACCGGAACCCCTTCAGGGCGACGCGGGTTGGGAGGAGGCTGTCCTGCCCAGGGTCCCACTGGCACGCCAGGGTTTTGGAGGTAATGTTGAAGATGCAGGTGAGGTTCTGAGGCTGGGATGGAGGGTCTGCTTGGCATCCGCGTGGCATTGAGAAGAAAGAAGCAGGGAAACGTTTTCAACATTGGCAACGTTGCGGGCGGGGGAAAGTTCCGCGGCCTTGTTGAACCCAGACCGGATCTTTGAGAGCTAGGTTTTATACGTGCCAGCGTTTTTTCTATAGCATACAGCATTCATCAGCGAGAGCAGAGGTGGGGCGGTTTATACAGCCACCCCTTCGGCTCCTGGTGGCAGCAACTGAAGGCAGGCATTCTGCTCTGCTGAATACAGGCAGTTTGTTAGGACGGGGGATCTGTTGCTAAGTTCAGTTTTCGGTCTACTTGGAAAAACACACAAAATGCCTTTGCATGGCATGACTTGGAAGACATTTCACTAACTTAGGAGATTTACTTGCGGCCAACTGTTGAACATTGATTTCAGCTCTACTGAAGGAAGAAATTATTATCCAGCACTTTATCTGGCATCTCCCTAATCTCTGATGGGTGTAGCTTGGCTCATTTGCTGAAGCCACCTCAAACATCATCATCATTTGAATGGCATTCCTTAAATGCTGTAAAAATGGGGTTTCCAGGGATTTGCTTAGAATGAGATCACATCACACATCAAACCAGTGGTTCCCAACGAGGGCAATTTTGAGATGTGTAGGCTTCAACTCCCAGAATTCTTAGCAATGACCATATTGGCTGGGGGATTGTGGGAGTTGAACTCCATACATGACAAAGTTGCCCAGATTGGGAAACACCCAGTGGGGCGATGGTAAGAGCTGTCTCTGCCAGCTCCATTGCCGCCATCAGGCTGAGGTGCTACCTGCAGAACAGCCGATCAGCGCACTGGGCATGGTAGTGCAGCTCTGCTCTCAGCCAAATTGCAATGCTCCAGAAGAATGAGCTGCTGGTGGCTGTGAGCCTACACGCTGGATCCCGCGTGTGGCCGGCTCTTTCTCGCTTTCTCCGGCTGCCGGTGTGTTCCTCGGCTCAGTGCGATATTTAAGGAACCGAACGTGCCGGAAACAGGTTGCCAGTCCAAGAGGGAGAGTGTCTGGGGGGAGAGGGAACGTGTCCTTTTCTACATCACTATTCTTGGGAAAAGTCTCCAAAGGGAGGGACCCCCGTTTGCCTGGCCCCTTTCAGAATAGCAAAGATGGGGCTGCTGTAGGATTCTGCTTCTAACGCAGATGGGCTCGCTGCTTCTGTTCCTGTGTCTTTGGCTATCAGCAGGAGCCAAAGTCTGCAGGGTGTAGGTGGTGGCTGCAAAGATGTCATCAAAACTCCTTCACGGCCACCATTTGGACTTTTTTGATCACACCCTTCTCATAAGAGATTTTGGTTTTAGTGTTTGATGATTAATTATATTATTGATTGAAAGTTGCCTTTTATGAATCTTAAATAAGCAGCATAAAGGTTTCTTTATAAACACTGCACTGGGCACACACCCTACTTTTGGTCCTTGCAATGAGACTTACATCCAGCCTGGATCTGGGTGAAGTTCATAACCTGTGGGATGCCATGTTCCAGCACACAACAGCTCAGGGAGGTCACAGGTTCCTTGAAGGGGCCAACGGTGATGTTGGAAACTTCCACTCCATTGCTGAAGCTGTACTGGGGTGCCATAAGTTGTTTGTTGCCCATTTTCCAAATCATCTGGGTTTTGCTGTCCTTCGTAATGGGGCAGTGGTTTCTCCAAATGGTACAAGAAGCTGTGACGTTTCCTCCCAAGACGACAACTGGGGAGTCGACGGTCAGGTGGCTGCAGGAGAGGGACCCTGCTGAGGAGGGAGAAGAGGCTTGGAAGCAATGCGTGGCATAGCTGGGGGCTGCCAAAAGTGGCAGCCTGCCCCAGTTTCCCAAGGCTACCCCAGCTGGAGCCCACTAGCACCCACCTCCTGGCAGCCAAAGGAGGAAAAGTGCGCATCCCAGCAGGTGTGTCCGGGGATCCCACGCACTTGCCATGATCTGGCTCAGGCAACGTAACGTTTAAACCTGTGGTTGACAGAAACAGACATTCAGGCAGCTCCCAGCCCTTTGCCCCAGGGCACACCCGTTGTGCGGGATTCGGTTGGCTGGGAACACGGATGGCCACTTGGAGCTCAGGCGTGACTGACTGTGGGGCCTCAAAGAGGAAGGTGGCAAAGGCTTGGATTTCATCCTCTTTTGTATCACACAAAGGCGCATTGGCGCCTTCTTGACAACATCCTTGGCTTCTTGGCTGTGGCGTCAAGTTTCAGGTATGCTAAACATACTGTTAATTTTGTGCTTGTGCATTCTGGGGTTTGCAACAAAAGAATAAAAATTATTTGTAAGCCGTTACAAATCAGACTGTAAGCCATCAAACTGTAAGCCATTTGATAATCCTCAGTATTTCAGGTATTTTAAACAGCAACATTTCTGTAATGGGAAAAGAAGCGTCCCGCTAATTCAGCATTAATCAGTCTTAAGCCTTTTGCTTATAAATACTGATAGAGAGAAAACAGAAAGCAAAGCATAAGATTTCCTGTAAAGTTTAGTAAAAAGGGAACAGTGAATCATTTTATTCAGAGTTTTATCAAAAACCAAGAGCACTGTTAAATTTATTAATGCCCATGATATCTACATTTCTTGAGATCAACAAAAGAATGTCAAGTATGTAGAAAGGGGGTTGGTTTCTTAACCGCTTTTAATTTAAGCAAATGAAATCTCATCCCTGCTGCCTTCCCAGCTTTTAAAGATTTATTCCTGGAGGGCGATGAGCAGAATGGCCTCAGAACTCAGAAGTGGCCGTTCACCTTTGTTTCTTCTGCTGTGACACTTTTGTGATGTTTTATTGAAATCTCCTTTCTTGTAATTTGGGCCTGTTTGTTTGAGTACTTCTCTCTGGAGCATCAGAAAACAAATGCTTTCCATGCTGTGTGTCTTTAGTGAGTGAACAAGGACTTTAATATAGTCACAGAACGATCTCTACTCTAGGCTAAACGTATCCAACTCTGCCAGCTTTTCTTCGTGACACTATATTTAAGCCTTGATCCTTCTTGTCTGAATGTTTTCCAGCTTTTTGGCATCAACATGTAGCCCCTAAAGCTATAATGAACCCTCCAGGGAAAGACCAAGCAGAATACATACTACTGTACCATAACTTCACACGGCAGGCTCGTGTTTAGCTTATGGCCTCTTAAAAGCTCTCCAATCCTTTGACATGATCTGGTGCCAAGCTAGGTGTCACCTATCCTATACACCTGGGCTGAGTCTTCCCACTGAATGCAGGATTTTGCCTTTATCTCTGTGGATCGTCACGTTGTCAGCTTGGTGATCATCTCAGAGATCTGGGCTGTTTGAGGCATGTTTCAGGGATGAACCAAATCAGAAAGACTGGCCTCTCCCACTGCCCAGAGCAGAATGGATCCGCAGACGGGGCTCAGAGATGTGGGTTGAGAGAAACCAGCACCTAAAGGGGCTAATAGGTGCCAACTGATCTCCCCCCCTGGAGTCACCTGACTGCGATGCTGACTGAATAGTCAGTGAAGCAATCAGATTGCACCTAGGGCAGAACTAATTTAAAGTGTTCATTAAAGATAAATAAGGAAATGTGACGGGAGAGTCTGACAGAAGGGCCACAATAGAGGAACTGAAGTTTGGTATACCTCCTGTTATGTGTATCTCCATGTGTATATGCGGCACTGGACATTTCAAGCTGCTTTCCATTGGAAATACAAATGTTAATTAAGTAAATCAATCAGTCGTTACCAAAATATGGCCTCAGTGGGAGGTTGGGAACGATGTCTTGGATCGCTCCCCCATGATGAGGTTCTTCAGCAGCTGCAGGACTGTTGCACTATGGTGACTAGAAGGGGGCTCATGATGCACTGGGTGGGTGACTGGCAGCATTTGCGTGCAAGGAAGGGAAGGGTCTCTTCCCCCATCAGTGCTTGAGGTGTGAAACGTGAATTCAAGGCAGCCCAGGCCCCAAGAAAGCTTCCAGCCAGAGGAGGTGTGCACATGTATCATGGGAACCTGAACCACAGGCAAATGGGTGGACTGGATCAGAGCACTGCTCTGTGGCATGTTTCACAAGGGGCAGCTCGCCCTGCACCTGCCTGGCACACTTGCTGCATGGATGCATCATGGCCATTGTAAGGGGCTGATATCTGGCACGGAGGCTGCTATGAAAATGCCAGCCATGCTGCAAGAGAGGATGGAGGGTGGATCAGTGGCTGGCCTTTGCCAGCTGTAGGCGACCTGATGCAACCCCATTACGAGCTGATGAGCTGCAACCTCCTGGGAACACAGGCTGGACACGGGCTACCTTGGAGGGAAGAAGCTGAACTCCTGGAGCAAAGCGATGGGCTGTCGTTTTGCCTGAAAGTGAATGCTACGTTGCTGGGATTTTGAAGTGGGAAGATGGCCCACTGGGTTACCCTGTTGCTGAGTAGAAAAGTAATGGGAATTTGACTGCTAACTGGAAGGATCAGCCCTTCCAGCTTAGAGCGACCTGGAAAAAGGTCTGTCTGTCTGTCTGGAAGTATGACTGGGATCTCTCCACGTAGGATCAAGAGCAACTTTTCATCACACTCCCCCTTGAAAACACTGTCAAATTTAGCCTCTCCCCACCCCCGTTCTGCCTTTGGAACAGTAGCCCCCAGGCTGGAACCAATGCAAGGTCCCTCAATGGTCTGCCTGGGTTTGGTGATCTTGCAAGACCTCCTTCCAGGCTGCCCCTTCGCAGCCATTTTAGTTACAATCTGGCTGCCTGGCATGCAGCCCCACCACCACATCCCAACGTGGCTGTGGCTGTGGCTGTGGCTGTGGCTGTGGCTGGGCACCCCAGCAGGTGCGACCCTGCTGAACCCCTGCCATCGGGCAGCTCCTGAACCTGGGCACCCTTTGGGGGCAGCTGCAGGCAAAAGGCAGACGTACACGCTAGCCGGCACATGGCTACATGCTGTATGCAGCCACTGCACGTAAGGTAATGCGACAGGACCCTGCGAAGATGAAAGAGGCCGGGATGCCCAGCCCTTACCTTAGGCGAGCTCAGGTTCCAGAACTCGAGAACTCATCCACCAGTGGGCTGCCCCACTTCCCCTAGCAGAAAAATGATCCTCCCGACACAAAATGCTGTCGTTATTCTCCCTCTGAGCAAGGTGATTGCAAAATGCTTCTCAAAGCTTTTATCTGCCCAACTCTCAGGAAGGAAGGAACTCTGTGGCTGACCAGCTCGCACACAGGGCACACGCACTGCACAGGGGGACGAGGAGAGGCAGCCCTCCGTCAGCTGCCCTCCCTCCAGGCTTTTATAGAGCCTGGCCCAGCGTCGCCGTCATCGGTGGAGCAATCAACACCTTTGTTGCCCCCACACGCTGGGCCTGCTCAGAAATTGTGAGAGCCACGTGCGGGTGGGTGCCACGTGTCTGGCGTTCAGGATGGGTTAGAGTCGTCCTTTTCCCCTTTAAAAAAAGTCCAATATTTGGCAGAGATTAAAAATGTGATAGATAACTTGGTTGGGTTCACGCAACACACTCAACCAGGACAGGTCTGGATCCACCTGAGGCATTTGCGCATTACGCCGGCTCTGTTTGTGTTAACTGGAAAGGTTTTTCTCTCTCTTAGATGTTGGGTGAATCTGGTCCCTCCGGCTAAACTAATGGCCCCGAGTGCTGTGTCTCGCTCTAGAAAAAGGGTTAATTCAGGAACCCGGTTGAGTATGTTGTGTGAATTCAGCCCCTCATGCCCTCACTGAAGAACCCAAAGCTGCCACTCAGAGGGAAGATGCAAACCTGCCCCTTGGCAGAAGGGGGGAAGGCAGAAGGCCTGCCGTGACAGGGACGGGCCAAAGCCACCGTGGCTGCGGAGGTCAGAGAGGAGGGCCGAAGAGGTTCTCCCCCTCCTGGGCAAGCACATGGGGACAGTTGTGCTCAGACTGAAGGAGAGCCCAGTTTACAGTTTGGAGGGGTGCAGAGAGGGGACAGAGCCCCGTCTACTTTATTTTGTCTGCCCTGCCTCTCGTAAGGGCCTCAGAGCAGATGTTTCTTTCGTTGGGATGGGGCGTGATTGTGAAAACAAGCCTATTGCCCAATTCCACACTACTGACAAATAGTGTCACTTCCTGAGTAAGAGGGTGTTTGTTACATAATTTGGTGGTATGCTCATTGCAGGCAGGAATGGTTTCCTCTGTGAGAAAAGAAGCTAGTCCTCACTGATCACTCCTCTGGGCTAGACATACAGTCATCTGGTGCCCTGGCCAGGGAAGAGTCAGGCCTCATATAAGAACTTCAGGACAGACAGTACTTTTGGATGGTCATTTACGCGGAATCATATTCTTCCCAAAATATCATGGATCCAGGGTTCCATGGATCAGATTTTTATAGGAGCAGATACACCAGACTTTGAGCCAATCTCTCTTATAACCATCTTTCATTGAAGCGGGGGAAAAAACAAAAAACAGGCAGCAGAACAGAATGCTGGAGAAATGGGCTAACTGTTGCCCCTAACTATTGCCAAACTGAAAAAAGAACGCACATGCAGAAAATTTTCAGGTGCTTTCTTTTCCATAATTTCACAGAGAGATTTCTGTGAGTTGAGGTTCTACATGGGACCTTCAACATCATTGGAGGAGAAATACCCAGGAACCTGAAGGGCAGAATCAGTCAATTTCCAGGCCCAACCTGAATCTCAGTCTAGTAGT